TCCGACCTTTTGAAAAATAAGGAGGAGTTTTGTATTCGTGTGTGTTTTAGTTTTTGGTTTCCACGCAAAATCAGGTTTCACAATTAATCATTTGAATGGGTTGAGTGATACATCATATAAATGCAGTTTCAGTCGTGATTCGAAACACACCAAAAAACTTCCAGAAATTTGTACCAGTACCAAAAAAGGTGGCTTAAATATCTTGAATTTTTTTGTCTTAACTCGAGTGAGTCAAGCGAGCGAGCAGGTTTACTATAGCTTTTTTTCAATTATTTATAGCTTACAATAGCTTAGTTTAAGCGGTGAATACTTGATGCTTTTTAGCGCCTCTTCTGAATCAAAAGCTTCGAAAATGCAAAAAAAAGGCAAATAAAATTGAAAAAGTCGGATTATTCTGTGCTACTTTCCCAGTTATCGGCTATCCTTGCTTAAATTATTTTTGTTGCAATAATATTGTACGACCAATAGCAGTTGCATGATTTTTTTCGATACTCACCTTAGCCTCAAATTGATTTTTGCTGCAGTTTTTGCCACCTTATAAGTGTCCGTACTTTTTTTTTTAGAAATGAGTGTAAACATTATGTAATCATGTGAACATGAGCAAACAGATTTTTTCAAAACTCGTTTTTTTTCAAGTAATTTTAAAATGGGCAAACAGATATTTTTCAAAACTCCTTCTTTTAATTCAATAAACTAATAGGCAAAAATTATGATTCAGGATCATTCAGCATTTTTTCAATTTTTAGGTGTTTTAAATTGAGTTGTTATTGAAAATTATTGACTTTTTGCGTGTGTTTTTATATAGTTATTTTTAGTTTTCGGACGCATTCATCAAATAATTTTTTGAGGAAGTTTTTGTTTGTGAATGACTGTGAATTTTGGACAGAGAAAATGATAGATAATGTTCCTTTTAAGACTTGGAGTGTTCTTGGGATAGCAAAATTAGTTAGGTGCCAAGAATCAGTTTTTGCAGAACTAGGAGAGCAACTGCATTTTGTTTTTTAGAAAAAATGTATCGGTAATTTTTTAGTCTAAAAATGCTAGGCAGTATCTAGGATTGTAATACAATTTTGTCGAGGTGAGACACCAAGTTGATTATTTATAAGAGTGTACAATCTTCATAAAAGTGTACATGGTTCGTTGCTGTTGTTGTTGACATTACTTTGCAGCATTGACGATGTAGTAAGCCTGTCAGTCATTGAAGGACCCGCAGTAACATACCGGTCTTGATCAAGAATATCTTCGTTTCGCATTTTGAGACATATCCCATAGGGTCTGATATGTTTGGAATCACGTACAATGCGATAATCAGGTTGACAGCTTGGAATTCTAGTTTTTTCTGGTTTTATCCTGACCTAAAGTTAATCAGCATTCAAAAATTTTTATAAAATCTTTGGAGTGGCTCTGAAATTAAATTAATACAACCTGAAAGACACATTTGTGGCCATCAACCTTATGGGTTTTGTGAAAAGCCTCGCTGATTTGAATTTTGGCACCAAAGTTTGCGCCCCTTCCACATGGATGTCCTTTAGTGTCGCTCAGCTCATTCACATCAACATCTTCGCTGTAAGCCTGAAAACCTCGGGGATCATTTGTCAAAAACTGTCTAGATCGAAGAATTTCTCTCGTTCCATGTTCGCTGCTTCCATGGAAAGCAACAGCCCATTCACGAGGGTTACCATCCATCATCAGCCAATCATCATTACCATTGTCATATCTTCCTTTCACTCGCAAGCCTAATCTGATCCAATTGGAGTTTGGTTGATAATAAACCATTCCACCTCTCTTTAGTGTGTCTCCGTTTGTATTTGGAAACCTGAAATCCCCTGCAGAATCAAAATCGTCTTTTTCAAGCGCCAATAGGTTAACCAGCCGTCTTTCTTGATGTAGATCGGAATCTGAAATATTTATGAGTTTCTTTTCATTCGATAAGGATTGAAGATCCAATATCAGTTCAGTTGTCGAAAGCTATGACTCAAAAAATATAGAAGAGTTAAAATCTAAACAATAATCTTTTTGAAATAGGACGAAGAAGTCATTTGTAAGAATAACTCTGATAATATAACTCGAAGAACGTTGAAATTGATTAGACGCAAAATTCTAATCTAAAAATGTTACCATCCCAATCCTGAGAGAAAGCGGACACAAAGTCATCGATACTACGTAGTCGATTGGAGTTCTCAACCAACAAGAAATCTCCGCCTCAAGGGAAATCAAATAAGCAAAATAGTCAGACTTTCAAAATAGTATATCTAACAATTAGAGTTAAAATCTAAAATTATGTATGCAAATTGAGGTTTTTGTTTTCATCAGTTTAACTTTGAAGTCGAAAATATACGATTTTCAATTTGCACGCAAGAAAAAAATGCAATTTTGAAACTATTAATTCAAGGTTGTGGTTGTACAAAAACCTCGTACCTTCGTGTTTTTATCATCTTCTTTTTTCTTTTTAACAATCTCAGTGTTCGTCGATTGAGATTTTTTCAATGCGTGTTTTTTAAACCATTTTTGAAGTTTAAAGGGCTAGACGTATTATAAACTATTTCGAGGTTCAAGGGGTAAGGCGAAATTTTTAATAGCATCATAACATCAATAGATGCTTAAGATAACTCAATCAAAAACCCTAAGCGTTCAATTATGGAAGTAATTTGCTGGCTTAGTTTTTAAGGACTTATTTTTTATTGACCTAATATCACCTAATATCTAGTCAACAAAAAGGGAAAAGCATTAAAATAAACGTAGAGTAATTTTTGTTTTCTTTTTCATTGGCGATTTTTTAAGGAGAATCGGCGGCCTTCTGTTGAACTGGGGCCAACTTCGATTTTATTCGAATATGCGTTTCCTTCTCTTCGTCAGTTGGGGCATCCTGCAAAAGCGTTTGTTTCGTTGATTGAAATGCAGAGCCGGATTTATTGTCTTGTCGCGCTGAGCTCGGAGAAGTTTCGCGACGACTCCAAATAAAATATATAGTTAGTCTGCAAACAAGTGAGCATAAACATACTAACCACATTAATCAAACGCATATACTAATCTGTGAAGAAAAAGAAGACTGAAAACACATACGAAATATCCGCAGCCAGTTTCAAGAGTTATTATTTATTTAATTTATGGTTGTAGAACCAATTTCATTAAAATTGAGAAAAAATCGAATTTAATCAGTCACTAATCAATTATGATTCCCCCAATTTCAAAACACAAATTGATCAAATATGATATAATTTAATCAATTATAATCAATAATCACTACAACTGTTTTTTGATGAAATTATAACCGATTAAATACTATTTATCACAATTTTTAATTTAATTGATTATAACTGATTATACTCGTTTTGTTTGCCCATTCTGTCTCCGATCCTGCGTCTGAATTGCTTATAATTGATGCTTTCCATGCACGTTGGCTTAAGAGAAAAATGGGAAATTGTTTACCAGTTTTCAAATCAATTCAATTTTATAACGTTTTCATTTTTGTATTCATGATTAAATTTGTTTTTTGATTCTCATTAATAGCTTTTTTAACAAAACATAGCACATTGTTTTAGTTTCATTATTTACTCGGCAATAATAGTTTTCATATACCGCGGGAGTCTTTCAACTAATTTGAAAGAATCTCAATGAAACTTTTGTTTCGTGGTAAAAATTTGTGTTCAGATGAATCAAAGTGTGACAAGACGTCTCGATTTTGTGATTTTAATTGTGACAGAAAAATCAAAGTGTTATCTAATTCATATATACTTTTGTTGAGAAGAAATTTACAATCCAATTCTGAAAAAGAGGTGTGATTATAAGTTTTGCGCCTATATTCGAAAGTAAATTTGCTTGAAGGGCGTTTAAAAAATCTTCTGCTGAGTTGTTAGGGTGTGTTCTTCATTACAAAATTCAAATAGTAAAACCCTCCTCGTTACATCATAATGATGCCTATGCGAGGTTGTGAAAATCGCATGAACAATCACGAGTTAGATTTTTTTCCAGTTTGAGCTCTTTATTGCATTATCTTTAATATCTGTCAAACATTCAACAAAAATTGCCAGTTAAAATGTCAAATTTTCTCTAAAAACAACACCGATCACAAGTGTTTAATCATTTTGTTCGATATTTGGTACAAAACCGATACATTCTGAATTTCATAGGAACTAATATGACCAATAAGTCTCGTCAAATCAAATTTGATGGATACAAAGTGGATATATGAAATTTGTTAATTGTCTAAAGTTTTTCAAACTTCAAGTTCTTTTCCAAAATACTAAAAAACAACCATTTTGTTTTTAGGATCAAAGAAAGGGTGGTTTTAGGGTAATTTTACAGGTCAAATTCATTCAGAATGTTCCTATATTTGGAAATTTTGCGTTAAAAATCTTCATTTTTGATTTCGTACAGAAAACTATCCGTATCAGAATAAAAAAGTTGACATTCAAACATTTTTTTCTTTAAATCGTAATGAAGTTTATACATGTGGAATTCTGCTTAATCAAGAACACTAGCTCCAACATCCCAATTCAATTTTTACATGATTTGAAAAAAACGCTGCCAAGTTTCCCCAAAAGTTTTTACATTTGTAGAATTTGAATTCGAATGAACTTTTTTCTCGCAAGGCGGCTTGATAACTTCTAATTATCCGAACGAGCATCCATTTGCACTTCAAATGGCATGTTTTTCCATATGCACAATTCTTCAGAAGATTGTTCAAATCCTTCTCAAATTTGTTTCCAGCTTTTTAGCGTTTTGTCGTGTTCAGAGTGATATATCACTCAAACGGTGTTTCTTCTTCGAACTTCAGCAAACGGTGCTTTTTAAACAACTTTTAGTCCCAACCTGACTTATAATTGCAAAAGCTTGTAATGAATTGTATAGGTTGACTTGTCATACAACGTCTGCAGTAAATTCTTGGTCTTACCAATTGAACGTCTTGCAGTTTCTTGATTTCTCATCTGCCCGGTTAAATTTGTTTGGTAGTGGCCCAACCAACCCTGGGGTAATTTTTCTTTGTTAGGTACTAAAGGGTAATCTTGATGATTGTCATGTAATTCTTTTGGATATTCGAGATCAACTTCTAGATTGAACCCAATCAGAGAGTCTTCAGTAGTTTCAAGGATTTGGTCCAGTATTACCTCGTCGTCTATATGTTCGAATAACTCAAACTACGGACCGCTCATCAGTCTGTATATGCTAGGTGTATCTGGGTTGAAGTCGGGTTTTTCTTTGTTGTTTGTTTAGAAAAAGCGACTATGGAACACAGATGCAGTGCCACCTCACATCATATTCTCGACCATTCCGAGACGATTGCGATCTGATATAAGCTGAACGTTCGAATTTTTGCAGAGACGTTTGAAGGTGTCATATATGAATAGGGATAGAAACTTTTTTTTCTTATGGGACATCGTTGCTCCTCCGTCTCGTTTGCAAAATAATCGTTTAAAGTCGAAATTTTTTGCGCTGGCAGATTATCCACCAATTTTTTCATGGAAGAAAATTAAAACTAGCATGACGCATGAGAATCCGAGGTACTGGAAAACTTTTTGATCAGTTCCGTTCTTCCTTTTTATAGTTTTAATTAAAAATCCATCGCTTAACTATATACATTTTTCGTCGTTGCTGGGTATAACACTCCATGTGCTGGTTGGCTCGCTCACATACAAGGCGGGACATCAGTGGTGATGCTCATAGTTCTGGATGTTATGTCCAATGGCTGGCGTAAAATTCACAGTTCGTGTTGCTAGATTGCAACTTTCATGTGCCCATCCAAGAAACTTTCCAGAAAAATTACAATAGTTAGGACTTTTTGTGCTGAATAGTAAAATGTTTCCGACAAGTCCAATATGTTGATGTGTTTTCTTTGTTCAACGATTCTTGACTTCCTAGCAAAAGAGGAAACTGTCGTTTTTTTCGCTATTTGATGCAACTGATTGCGAAATTTTTTCATGCACTGACCAGAGATGTCATCGCCAAAAAAGCTGGGCTATAACAGCCATTGAATAACCACAATTTCATGTTTTTTTTCACATCGCGGAAAGATGATCGCGAAGGATTATCAGGGTAAGAAAGTACAAGTTTTACAAAAGAGTCAAAGTCGAAGTAAATCACAAGTGGTACAAACCACAAGGCCTGAAAGTTGGTACTCATATCAGTTGATACCTTTTTCAGTTGGTACCAGAGGCGCAAATACTAGGGCAAATTCTTGATCTTTCCAAGACTGGAGGTTTTGCTAATGAGTCTCATCACTCCAATTAATGTGAAAGCAGTTTCTACCTAGGTGGGTGCGTGAATGGGCGATGCTTATGTCCTTTGATTTCACAGTTGAATTTAGCAAACTAGTTATGAGTACATAATAATGATTTGCCGGCTCATACAAGAGAGTTAGGTCCATGTCAAATATCTCAATTTCAGTGCTGCTATCGATATTCGTTGCTTTTGGTATGTACATAAGCAACAAATCTCCTTTTTGGTTTTGCAACACATTATCCGCATATCGTTGAGTTGTTCAAAGTTTCCAGTTGATGCGAAGCTCTTGACCGTGGGCTTTGTGTGCACTTTCAGCAGTGTACGTATCAGGTTGTTGTCGCGCCTCTACTGGGTTCGCTTTTTGTTGATCAGTCAGAAGTAGGTCAATGCCATGTTTCAGACTATAAGCAGACTCAAAATCAGAATTCGAAGCAATTATGATTGTCGTGATTTCTAATGCTTAGGCAGCTCTCATAATAGTTATACCATGTGCTGCTAGTAATTGAGTTAAAAGTTTTTGAAATTCCAAATTACAATAATCGCAAACACCTCCAAATGACCATGAGTGTGAAAAAAATGTTTTTTAGATTTTGAGAGCAATTGAGCCGTGAAAAATTACTCAATGCATCAATAAACATAAGGGCTTTTTTCAACAAAAAGTTTGTGACGCTCATGGAGC